GGCTATGCTTGGACTTACACAGAAAGTCTGGAGGCTCTCACTCTAACATTTGCGTTCTTACATACAGCCTATCCAATCAATGTAACCAGAAGCAGCTATAATGTGAGCTTTAACTGTCATGCACGAGATTTAAACAAACTATAGCCCTGACCAACCATAATTCATCATACCACATGAAATTATCCAACATTTAAGAAGGAAAATGTCAAAACACAAGTATTCAATGCAACAAATAGGTTTATTCAACCCGATATAAAATCAAATGTTAATAATAATACCCTGGGGTTTCATTTCTCAGTTTATGGTACCATGACAATTGGTGGTATTCATTTTAAAACCACAAGGAAATATATTCACTACTCACTGTTCCTTGGAAAAGGCAAGAAGCTCTGAGCAGCCAGCGAGCGACCCTCAGTCCAGCGGTGAAGAACACCTCTCCTGAGGCTCCATCCTTCATCCAGAAAGTTAGAATAAACTGTACTTTCACAGACTCATTGGCTTAGTCACTTCTCCTCCAGGCTTTAAGATGAGCTAGCAAACAATAGTCCAAACAGTTCTCATGTTGTGTTTGTGCTAATTTAACAACATTACTGACTGGAGCAACACTTCAACATGCTCTCATTCCTTTATTAGCAAGAAACAAACTCTTATAAAACTCTTGGTTCTCAATTCAAACCACATTTACGGAGTTTCATGAACTTATTTTACAGAGCACACGGCCGCGTCTTCCACCTGTGTTTCCCGCGACACCTGCTTCCGGTTCTAACACTTAGTCCCACCCCTCTAAGAATTCGATTGGTCACAATACTCCTCCCCCCTTGACACTGATTGACTGATACTGATTGATTGACACCTGTCGAGCCCATACTCAAACGCAAACGGATCTGAAACGTTCAAGTTCTTTTCAAAACATAGGAAAGTTCAGCATCTAACCAAAATATAAATTTCCCCATAGCAATGACCAAAAGAAAAAAATACATTACACATCCAGGTCATATCTCAATATATATATATATATATATATATATATATACATATATATTATAGTATATATATATATATATATATAGAAAATTTGTTTTGGCTTGGATTTTACTCACATTTACCATATCCCATATGCAGCCCAGATATGACGAGGAATGAGGGCACTTGGGTGGTCTAATCTTGTTTGCCAGAGGTAAGCCATAGCAATACAGAATGTGTTCCTAATTTGTTTTGTGCTATTTGGGCCATATTTACCATTTACCACATGGGTCACTTTAGGTGAACATCCAGATTACACTTTACCTGAGCACTGCATGTTTGACAAAAAAGGCCCACATTTGTTTTGGGATATTTGAACCATATTTGTTATTTTATAAGTGGGCCACATGAGGCTCACATCCACAAGAAGGCCAAAAGTGCGGCATCATTGACTGAGGTGGCCCCTTATAGCCACATACACAGCTAAAGAATCTGAAATTGTAGGTTCTGATGCAGTTTCCCCATTTGACCTTTGTCTTAAGATCGGAATTCTGTTTCCTTTTTTTTTTATTCCTCTGATACGATCCACATGGTGCATGTTCTTAAATAAATTTGTGTTTAATAAATTACGATAAAACTAAACATGGGATCCCAGCCTGTCAGGGACGGACAGACCATGTCCATCACAAGAGCCCCCAGCATGTTGATCCAACCCTAAAGTGGAGTTGGATTGAGGATCATACAGCATCCCTTCAACAAAAGAAAAGCCCCTTTTTCTCAGAAACACAGTTGATATCAAATTGCATAAATCCATTTAGCACTGCTTGTGGCCAATAATGGGAAAGGAACATAATGAAAATCAGAGATTACATCTCAATTCATGATTATCTTGTCTGCAGATCAAGTTTTTACAAAAGGCCTCTAAACAAATCATACCAACTGTAATCAGGTATCACATGTTGTTTTAATTGCTAAACATCTGGTGAAAAGGCTTTCTCCTTCGGTCTCATCTCTCCTTCTCTCCTGGCTTCTTAAATCTCCTCCTTTCACTCTAGAGTGGGAGAGACAGCAGCAGCCAGAGGGATTACAGCAGCTCCTTTATCCAGCAGCACCCGCGAGGAGCGTGAGATCACAAGCTGTATGTGTCTGTGTGTATTATGCGAGGAGCCTGCAATCACACCTCATCTATTAGCCGCTGCTGAGGACGGAATAAAGTGGACATTATGACACAATCCTGTATCACTCTGTAATTCATGCTGAGTGGTGCAGTCATGATTTGGTTTAATATATGGAGAGAGATCTGACAAGTGGAGCAACAAAAGAGTCATAAATATGTGGAGAGGGAGAGAAGGAGAGTTGTTTTAGAGGACCTGAGTCCTTCAGGCGTTCACATTCCTAAGTACCCTTTGAGAGAGAGAGAGTGTGTGTTTGTGTGTGTGTGTGTGTGTGTGTGTGTGTGAAATACACCCCTCCACAGGTGCTTGCTGTATGGGGCTATGACCGGAGGCTTGAGTTTCCAAAACATAGGCTTACACCAATACACAAGGGAGCAAATATGCGTGTGTGTTTCTGCCAGCCCTTCATCAACTTGTACAGATCGTTTCCACTGTACAAGACGGACGTAGTGTGTGTGTGGGTGTGAGTGTGTGCGGGTTTGTGCACATGTGTTATTGTCCAAATAAAGCCAGGCAAGACGGCCTTGAATTACGGCTGATATTCATTTGAGAAGAGATAGTGTTCCAGGTTTGGTTGGTGTGCAAAACAGCTACTGATACACACACACACACACACACACACAGCCACAATACTCCACAGTGATTATGACTGACAGAATAAAGTGTGTCACTCTGAGAGCAACAACTACATCCTCTCTTTCATGGCTTTGTAATTACAACTGTCACATTGTTCTGTTTAAAGGGTGTAATTAGATCATTATTCATTGTCATGGTGTAGCACTAGTATCATAGACCTCGATAAAGACCCTTACTGAGCGACATGGCATCCCATCATGGACATGGCTTCTAGCTTCTAGTCTGGTACCAGTATGTACACAACACATTTTAGCTGCTCCAGCATCAGAGTTGTAAACCTGAAAAAGCTTCTCTTTGCTGATGAAGACATTAAAGGTACAGTGTGTAGAATTTTGTGATATCTAGTGTTGAAATTGCGTGTTGCAGCTGAACACCCCTCACCTCACCCTCTCCTTCCAAACATGAAAAAGAAACTGTGGTAGCTTCAGTTGTCATAAAAACTCAAAAGGTGTTTAGTTTGTCCAGTCTGGACTAATGTAAAAAACATGGCAGCCTCTGTAGAGAGGGTCCCCTCGATGTAAATATAAAGTATTTAAATATAAAGGGCCTTTTCTGGGGTCAAGAAAACTACAATTCATACAATTTAGATTAAATGAACTAGTGAAAACATCATGAGGATTATTCTACATTAAATTTCTGCCAATCGTTCCCTTTCACCTAAACCTTACACACTGGACCTTTAAGATGAGGTTGAAAACCTTTGACCCTAACCCAAGTGACCAGCCTAAATAATTCACTCTTATCAAACGGTTGAGATCTGCAGACTCTCCCGCAAGACAGACAGACTCATGGGTCACTTTTTTTTTTACAGTACTTTCCCACACATACTGTTTTTAGATTCATCTCTAGATACATTCAGACTTGTTAGGCAGGCTTTAGCTGGTTAAGCAGCACACACAGACACACACACACAATTACAGCATTCTAACAGCATAAACTATGAGAGGCCACACATAATGCATAAATGCATGTAGAGATAGTGAGCGACAAAGACGGTTCAGTAACACTCCCTGTTTGAACAGGTGCCTCACTTGGCTCTCTGTGTGTGTGTGTGTGTGTGGAGGCCTGGGTGCAGGGAGCTGTCACTCTTCACTATGATCTGCATGAAGTGTACACAGATTCTAACCAGAGGATTTTTGGTGTTTGCATGGACTCTCCCAGAAACAGTGAGGATCTGAACATGTCAACAGACCTGACATGATTCAACACACATTATGGGAAGGGAAAACTCTTGAATGAACTGAATGATGATGAAAAAACTTGATACAAATTACAGACAAATCTGAAGGGCTAATGTGAAATTATATTTTTGTCGCTAAATATGGTAATCAACCCATTTAACCTGTCTTTTGCTGCAGAACTGTCAGAGCAGGATTTTACTCAAACCCTACTATAACCTCTACCAGGGGGGTTACGCTTTCACCCATTTGTTAGTTGGTAAGCAAGATTACACAAAAACTACAAGATGGATTACCATGAAACTTGGTGGAAGGATGTGTTATGGGTTTTTAACTTTCTTTAACTATGTGAGATAAGGCGTTTTTCAACATTATCATTGATTTCTCAGAGATAAATTCATGGAACGTGGTAGACATTTTTCAGGCATGTTTATGTGCCTCTGCTGAGATATGTGCTCTGAAGACAAACCGGCATTCAGTTCAACGACTTACATCATGAATTTAAACACGACACAGATGACTCAACAGTAACCGATGCAGGATATGTAATGTGTATTTTTTAAAGTTACACAATCTACATTTATCTTCATTTGCAATGATGTAATTCTATGTTTGGCTTGTTATCCCCGATGGTTTCAACTTATTCAGCACTAATAATTTTCTATTTCACCTCCATATCAAATTCCGCTTTCACCTTTTCTGGTTATTAAACTTAGAAGTCATGTGCTGAGGCTCTCACTCCTTACTGTTTGAATGCAGGCCACGTGTCCACAAGTTCAAATTGTGTTTTCACTGTGGAGGGTCAAAGTTGAAACCTGCACCTGTGTTCGAGACTAAACAACTGTACCTGCCTCAAACTGAAAATAAATACCTGAAAACTCACCATGTGTGGACTTACACGTGTTGATTAGGGCACCATCTCCATTTCATTTCATCCATACATCTCTTTTGTTTACTAGGAACCCAACATAAAAATCATTGAAATACAACTACAAAAATGACTTCACAGAAAGCATTTGGAAACATAAGGAAATCAAAAGACAGCTCCCATCATTTATGAGCAGAGAGTAATGAGTGCCCTGCTACTCGGTCTTTATTCATCGAGTGCAATTCAGTGTCTGAGACAATCAGACATCAATCAATAAAAACGACAGCTTCCATTTATGTGTACAGATACATATCTTATGAGATACCGACCTCCTTGAAATCAGGGTTACATTTTTCTTTCGGACATAGTACATTGTACACAACTTTCGCGGTCAAGCAAGATATTGAAACTCAGTAGTTCACAAGCTGAGAACAGGCTCACAGCTACAGTTAAAGGACAGAAACAGCCTCTTCACACTGCCCTGATCTGATCTGCCAAACAGGTGCACAGGACTAAAGATGAGTGGATGATCCAAGAGTTGAATGGAGAAAACTAATTTAAGTCATATTTGCTGGAAATAAAATTCAATTAAGTAGTTAAGTAAAAAAAAAATAAATAAATTACACACTTCAGATACCTTAGAACTACAGAAAATTTGAATATTTGTTTAACACAGAGGGGGAATAAAATAATGTTTTACATCAATTTCTATAACTGCCAATAGCCAATAATGTCCCCAAAATCTGAACTATGGCCTTATAAGTTAATCTATGGACACATCAATTCATAGGATTTAAGGATGGTCTTCAATGATGTGATTTTCCATTGTGAGAAGGGCTCCTCTGACTTTTTAGAAAGGTATCTGAGGAAATGTATGTTTGTGTTGTCAGCTAGGGTCAATTTTCTTAATTCTAAATGGTTGAAAAAATTCGAATTTGGAACAAAGCAATAAAAGATAAAGCAGTGAAAAAAGATTTGGATCTGCAAACTCAAACTTTGAATGGATGTGAAAAATAATCTGGTCCTAGGATAGCAATGTTTTGGAAACTACTGAAATATACAAAGAAACTCTACTGCCCTCTGCTGACTACCTTTCTAACTGAAACCTTGTGCGTTCTTCACATTTATCCTTGGCTTGGACAAACGTATTGGCCTCTAGAATGGCTTTAGGTCGAACCATACCTATTCTCTAAAAGGTGCAGAAATATAACTACTGGAGCTGTCTTTCTTATCTGCTATGTCTGAAAGGGATGGGACATCTGAGGTGGACTTTAGGTCAGATTCTATGTGCGTATTGAAGCGTCTCCTCACAGGGAGGTCAGAGCGATGTTGAGAGGAGGCATCTACATCTCAGCCTCCTTGTGCTGTGCTCTCCTCTTGTTGTGCTGGTGCTTGGTGAGTCCGTATTTGAAGAACTCGTACACCGACCAGCTGATGGCTGTGGAGGGCATCTGGTAAATCACCCTTGCCTGGACCCCTTTGAAGAAGCCCTGCAGGCCGCCCAACCTGTAAACTGTCCGGAAGGCGTGGGCCAGGCCTGTGATCTGTCTGTGGGCTCCTTGGCCTTGGCCCTTGCCGGGGCCTTGGCTCGGGGACAGGGAGCTGAGGGCTAGAGACTCCTGGGTGTTGAGCAGGGTCTTGCAGACATCTAGGGGTGTCGTGGCCGCAGCTGCGATTGCTCCCGCCAAAGCTCCCGACAACATGTGGGATGAGGGATTGTACTGTCTGTGGGGGTTGAGCAGCTCCTGTAGGTACTCGTAGGTCATGAAGTGGAGCGCCTGGAAGGGCACGTTCATGGTGAGCTGGGTGGTGTAACTGCGGTAGAAAGCAGCAGGACCCTCTTTCTGCCATACAGCGCGTATACAGTCCGACACGCCGCGGTATGGTGAATTATACATCTGCATGCGCTGCTTCACGACTGACCACACGTGTTTAGATGTATCGATGGAGGAGAGGACCATAGATGATCATTGTTGCCAGTGCGAAGATGGAAAAGATAAAACAAGAAAAAATATATAAGTTAGCAATAACCTGCACTGGTGTACATACAGGTTTGATGAACACACAAAGTTGCAGTGCGTCATTTAAACAGTATCTGCTTAGACAGCTGCAGCCCATCGAACAGCTGCTCACGAGGACATGGACCAGTGTCCTTCTACTGACGTGTTTGGGCAGCTGGACTAGAGGCAGCTGTGAAAGACATTATGTCAGACTGCAGGGTTAAGGCCAACATGTGAAGGTGACCAGGCATAACACCTGCACATTTCTTTACTGAAATTTCTCTATGGCAAGCGGAGAGAAATACCAATCTAATTCTGTGGCTAATGGCATTGGACAATAAAGGGTTGCTCTTACCTTCAGTTGGGTTCATGGCTGCATCATGAAGCAGTGTTGCCACACACCCAGCTGTTCCTGAAATAAACAAACCTCGGAAATTACTACACATTGTTCTGATTGTGAAGAACACACAAAGAAAACATGAGCTGAAGTAAAGAGTAAAGTGGAAAAGAAAGGCATTTTGAAACAGCAACAAACCCTCACATCCAGTCACAGCCTGCACTGCCTTATTCCTAAATGCTGCAGATGTCATTTAAAACAACAATAATATCATCAGAGCAGAACTGGCGCTTATTCAGCAAACTGCACAGGTAAACTAGAGATCACTCCAGGACAAATGCAGGAGGTCAAACCTGAGCAAAGAGAGACACCTGCTGGACAAGTCCAGCCATTTGAACCATACCCATAAGCTTAAAAAGACACGACCTACAGTGGATAGAGCAGATGAGATGGGAGAAAGAAGACTTACCCAGCCTCCTACTTAACTGGAAAAGAATGAAAAGCGAGAGTCAAGAGATTAATATTAAGAGCAAGGTTTCAAAATTGAATCTTTGCCTGAATCTCTTTCTATTTTCATAGCTTTACTAAACTTAACCCAAATTGTTTCACAAAATCTAGCAATAGATTGACAGCTGACCCTTGCACTTCTTTAGTGTACAGCTGTAGTTATTAAAAGGCTCTATCCAATTTGTAGGCCTGCCAGAGGTTTTCAAGACAGATCAGGCCACGTCTGCTCTGTGCAGGGATTAGGCTGAGTATGTAGCTTCATCCATATCAAACTAACGTTTGCTTAGCTTTAAGTTTGGAGTTGATCAAGTTCAATGTACCAACTTATCTATAGAGTTAAGAAAGCCATTCATATTCTTGTGTCTATACAGTAAATCTAGAGAGTAGGCTTTTTTTGATAACTTATTATTTTGCAGCCTGATGTTAAAACTACTTGATGTCTTGTATTGTATTGTGCAACAAATACAATTTTAACTTAAGTAGATCAAGTGAAACAACATTTGTAAATTAAAGACGTTACCGAGCAAACAGCACATAGTGTTGCACATCAGATGGTGTACCAACAAAATGTGCAGTTTAGTTTGGATCTGTGATCGATGTATTTTCATTTCCATTACTCTCTGAATTATGGTTTCTTTAACGAAATACAATACTTATAATATGCTAAAGATATCAGAAAACATATTTATCCATGGAATAACAAAAACTGAGAGACATGGATAGGACACACTAACGAGCAGACTAATCAATTGTTGTTGCATAAAGTACCAGGCTACATTAAACCTGCAGTGTAAACACATAAGTATAAACTGGCCTTAAGGCTTCAACATCAAAAACATGTGAAAGCAGTGAAGGGGTCAAAACACTTTCTGAATGCACTGTATGTATGTTTGGGATACCATTAGCCAAATGACTGTTTGCCCCTGGATGTATGAGATCACTTAGAGTCTTTTTCAGTTTCTCATAGCTGGCGAAGTAGAGGGCATGGGCAGGTCCCGCCCCAACTGCCGTCACATTGAGCCCTCTCATCGGCCGCCAGACTCCCTCCGTGGCTACTATTCGCCGAAGAGCATCCATTACGTTTCTGTAGCGGGCTGCGGGGTCGGGCTGGAGGCTCTGCATTCGTGTCTGGAAAAGAATGAAACAAAAATTCAAAGTCAAAAACAGTGTGTTCCCTTTCCAGCCACCGGGGTTAGGGAAAAAATTGAATACACAAATTTTAAGAAAATGTGATGCAGAATGTATGCCTATTAATAGGTCTTCCTGTAACAGCAAATAATAAAACAGCAATGGGGAGAGTCCTGAATAGACTGCATACAGAGTTGAGTGAGGTGTGTGTGTGTGTTGATGTATATGCATAATTGAATAGAAGGAAGTCTGGAATTACAAGCTCCAAGGTCACAAGGGGACATAAGCTGACTTCCTGTAAGCCTCTTTTCCCACTGACCCTGAGGCACACCTTTCACCCCTGCTCCAAACACACGCACAGACAAATAAGACAACCCATATATTATCTACAGGACGTGCAGAGGATCGGTGTTATGTTAAGAGGGTTGCTGTGTGCATCTCTCTAAAAAAACAGCAGCGACATAATTTCCGTATACCAAACATCCAGCCAAATGGAAAAATATACACCCCACTGTGTGTGTGTGTGTGTATGTGGTATACTAGTGTATACATGGCCTCATATCATCCTATGCAGCTGTGGAATGCAGGGCATGAAGAGAGCTAGCTAACCGTGGCACAACACATTCATCAAGTTACTTCATGTCTGGCACACAAACATGAGAGTGAGGAGTGGCTGTAGTGTCAGTAATCTGCTCCTCACTCATTCATTCATTCATGGCTGTTTGATACACACACTCAAACACATGCATGTACGGAGGTCTTTCCACATGTGTTATCTGCTGTTGGTCTTTAACGTGTGCTTGCATATTGATAAAGAAATGACCTTTGTATGTATAGACTTTGTCCCCCACTGTTGTGAAAACACAGTTTCTCTAAATGGCTGGAAATACCATCCACATGTGCCGTGAAGTGTGCACTCTGACAAACCTACAGATGCAGCAAGCTTATTTTAAATCCACAACCAATTACTGGGATTTAGGATACATTAAAATGGGGAATGGCAGTTTATTGTAAACTATAATTACACAATCTCTTAAGTGAGGAGATTATGGTGCAGGAGTGAGTGCCTTAATTTGACACAAGGGGAGATGTTAAAAAAAGGGAGATGTATTTACTGTATACAAAAGGAAAGGAATGTGTTTTAAGTATGTCAAATATTTCTCAAATAAATGCAATAGTTCTGAGAAGTGTTTTCCTCTTGAACAGTGGACAATGTCTCAAATCTCTGTTGTTTTGTTTGGCAAGAAGGCTGAGCCCCATTAGCAGACACTGTACAACAATGAGAAGGACCTGTAAACACCGGTGTTGTCCTGGATCAGGGCTACAAACAGAGGTGGACTACAGGTGGAGGAGACATGTATGAAGCATCGGCACATTGACAGCTTGTCAGTCTGACATTAACAGCTGACCATACTAAACTCATTGTCTCTGGCCTTCTCTCTGGTCCTCTTACACCAATGATCACATGTGCTGCAGCGAGATGACCTCTCGGGGGCAATAGGTCATGCATCCTTAGATGTGTCGACAGTGGGGGAAAAAGAAGCCACAGAATACAACTAACACACAGAACAAATGAGATCCCATGATGAGAAGTGTCCCGGTGATGTTGCTCTGATTCACATGTGATCAGGAGAGCTTTGCAAACAATTGATGTGTGACACAGGGAGCCTGAAGCTACCACAATGTCTGCCGGGAAATAAAAGCACCACGATGAACTGAAAGGGCCAAAAATACTTTTAAAACTTTAGAGCAATTCCTCCCTGTGTGTGTTGAGTGAACAGGAACAGTGTGAGTTAACACAGATAACATCGCATCCGTCTCTGGTTGTTTGCAGCTTAGCTTTGCTCTCCATGAACTTTTACACGGTTGTAGCAGTTATTTACTTGTATTTGCACATCCGTTTGTTAACATTGTCAATTATTTCCTTACACGTAACGCTGGTTGTGTAACGTTATATCACTTGAGGGATGGACAACGCTAGATGTGATTATGTTTTGCAGTTTAGCACAACGTGTCCAAATGGGCGACCATGCTAAATGTTGTCATAACGACCCTAAGGCTCAACTTGGTAGTAGCATACTAGCAGGTTAGCTAGTGTGGAGATGAGATGCTAACGGAGCTAACTGACCTTGCCTCACAGCTAATGAGCTATGCTACCAAAACACGTGAAGCTACACGAAAAACACCCACACGACACAACAGAGTGGAGCTGTGGAGGCTCGCGGGAAGTTGTGTGGGGTTAGCTGGTCAGCCGCCGAGCTATGCTATGCTACCTTGACACAGTCGATGGGGAACATGAGGCAGTGCTCCATGATCCCGGCCACGGCTCCGGCTAACATGTGGGTGCTAGTGGAGGCTCCCTGCGGCAAACCCTCATAGTCCGGTTCGGTGTCCTCTGTCTCTGCATCCTGTGCATTACGGATGAACTCGACAGCCTGTAGCTCCGTCTCGCCTCCGATCCGGGGGGTCAGGCTCCCCACGATACTTTCGGAAACTCCCCAGAATCTGCCCCCCAGCCATCGAACTTCTGCCCCGGCAGAGGCACCAGCAACCCCGGGATCGCCGCCTGTCGTCTCCGCTGTCATCCGACGCCTTCTCACAAATCCATCAGCTTCCATGAGAAACCGGGTGTATGTATCGAGTCTCTGGGCGCGCAGACGCGGCGGCTCGTGGGTGCTTTCAGTCCCCAAACTTTTACATTCCCTTGGGGTAATTTCCGTTTCACAGCTCCTTGGCACCACCGTTCCCACCCCGCCTCCCGGCCACAGCCAAGCAGAGCAACCGAGGCAGCGGTCACACACACACCGAGGAGCCTGATCGTGGGCCGCGACCACTGACTCCACTCTGATTGGTTGATAAAGCCAAGTCCTACTTACGCTATTGGCTAATGCACATGCCACTCACGATTGTGTTTAAACTTAAAACCTTGTCATGTGGCACCTGACAGGGAATTTCAGAATGACAACTGCATCTGTGGTGTCAAAATCACGTGTAGGTCACTGCAGGTCAGTTTAGAGGGCATGTTTAATTTCTGACACAAAGATCATAAACTTATTCGAGAAGTTTCCAAACCAAATGTCCAAATCATAAAAAAAACTAAACTGCTCTTTTATGTTGTATTGTTTTGTGCAACAAATACAATTTCGAGTGACTTAAGTAGATCAAGTGAAACAACATTTGTAAATTAAAGACTTTAACGAGCAAACAGCACATAGTGTTGCACATCAGATGGTGTACCAACAAAATATGCACGGTTTAGTTTGGATCTGTGATCAATGTATTTTGGATTTCAATGAATCTGTGAATAATGATTTCTCTAACAAAATACAATACTGACGACATCAGAAAAATTATTTCGTGACCTTGTCCAGTGTCCCTCCATCTTGAAGTTGCGTTTGTTTTTCTTTGTTATCCATAGAATAATAAAAAACGTTCTACTAACAAACAAACTAACAACCCATCATGGATAAAGACCACAGACTGTATATACAGAGATAAGGACAATGTGTCACAGTGACAGTATTGAAATTGTGCATCCTGCACTGTAACACTTGTTATAGTGTGCTTTCAGACAATAGGCTACTTTATGATTAAATAGTGATAAATTCTTAGAGGCCTGACGTGTTTGCCAGTGAATCTTTGCCTGAAGGCAAAGGATTACATTTTTTACAGAAAATGAGGTAATTGTGTTTTGGTGTGGTGCTGTTATAACATAATTGAATTTTCCCCTTTAATGCCTGGGAGAGCCTTTGAGGGCTGCAGTGTTGGATTTCTGCCGACAAAGGGGAATGAAGTGTTAATTTCTGCTTACAATAACAAAATCTCTGGCTTCTGATCTAGTTATGGATGATTGGCCGCTGTCTGCAGACGCTCCTTAAAGGAAAACCATGCAGACAGCATATTAGGATCATCCCTCTTCCCTGGCCCTAATGCTGATCTAATACACCGAGGGAGAGTCTTGTTAGGTCTGGCAGGAAACTCTATAGCAACATAACACCTCATTTCATTCCCTCTACCAAGTAAGTGCACAATCCACATAGGCCGTAGGAATTATTTTACACTGTCTAAGCAAAACAGTAAGAAGTCCACATTATAAAGACAAGCTGAGACGATAACTTGCTTATGTTCTGCTGTGTTTGGTTATTTTTCTGCCAATGAACACCCTTCCTTCAACAGAACCCAGTGGAGAAACTCATTTGTCTATTCCCTGGACTGCTGCTCGGGCCCACAGCATGATCTGTGGCCTCTTATCTCATCAATACACTGTAAGTGAACCACTAGGCCAATATGACAACTTCAACAGCAGCACTAAGAAACCATTCAGTGTTAAGAGCATATCCTAAAACTCTTAAGGGGAGCCCTTACTGTGAGATGAGCTGTGTCCAACCCCAATCAGCTTAGAGAGGACGTCATATGCTGCATTTTTTGATTAGAAT